TCCCAGCATCCAGCAAGAGGTTCCTTTGCTGAAGGGAGGTCTCTAACCCTGCTGAAATGTTCTCAGCTACTGCCTTTATGCAGACTTGGTTGGGCTTGAGCAGATGCCTGAATAACCCTTCTCCCCACAACAACGATGCAGAGCTATGGGACTTGCTCCTTCCCAAGTGGGGCTCTTTGCTGGCAGGATTTGTGGAGGCTCGGGACTGGGGGCTGCAGCCATGCCAGCAGCACCAATGTGAGATGTCCCCTTTGTAGCAAGGCCAGAAAGTGTTGCAGACACCTACCCAAAGCCTTGGTCAAAGGTGAGGGGCACATCCTGATCAACACACCTCTGATCCTTACAGCCATCCCTTTTAGCACTCACTCAGGAAGATGCATGGGATGCAGGGAGCAGCTGGCTCTCCCCACTGGCTGCACCAGGGACCTGCTTTTCACTAAGTGTCTATCCCCTTGTCCTGTTCAAGGGTCCTGGTGCTACAGGGTCTATGCTTTTGCCTCGCTCTCCCTGGCCGTGGGAGCCCCAGCCCCAGCTCTGGCGCACCTGGCACAGTGGCTGGCACCACGCCGGGGGCCGTGACTCGCAGTCCAGGGCTGCTGCAGGTCACACTGCCACAGCACATCAGCTCAGGGCAGACACTGATGAGGGCTGTGGCCAATTGAGGTGGCACATGGAATCTGGGGAGGCCGAATGCAGCTGCCCCAGTTGGCATCTGCCCAGAACAGTGTGGAGAGGTCACAGAAAGGAGCTGTTTTTGCAGCTGTGTTGGTATCCACATGGAGAACACGAGTGGGAGATGTGTCACCCTCAAAGTAGTCCTCTCCTGCGGGGGCAGCAACGCTGCGGCTTCAGCAGCTCTTTCCTCTAGAGCCTGAATGTTGGCTGATGCATGTGGATAAACGCTGTTTCCTTGAAGCCCTCGCCTGCATTCAGCCCCTCTCCTGGTCACGGTCTGGAAAGATGTGAGAGGATATGGGGGCTGGCATGGAAAGACTGAATAATAAAGAATGTCCTCAGAAAGGCCTCTTTGGACTCATGAAAAGCAACATGGCCAGATAAATGAGCTCCTAACAGCAACAAAAAGACATTGAGAAGTCCCTATGGCCAGTTCAAATCTGGGGACACTGCTCAAGTGTCACCACTTGCCGCTGGCTCCAAGGCTGTTAGATGGCTTAGCAGGGCAAACTGCATGCAAACCTGACCTGAGCAATGGGCAAAGCAATCTTTTACTCACTCAGAAATGCACCCCAGGCCATGCAACCTTGTTTCGAGCAGGGGAGGGGATGGCACAAGCCAAGTCTTGCCTCAGGAAAGGGCTGGGGCAGCTGCACTGGGAGGACGTACCCTGGCCCCTGGAAGGAAGGAGCCCAAGGTAAGGAAACACCACCAAGAATGAGGTTCTGGCTGGGAGGTCCCTGGTGTGAGTGCCGGGGCTGCTTCTGCTCCCTGGGCCAGTGAAGGTGCAAGCAGATCCCAGCATGGAGGTGCTACAGCTCCACACACAGGTCTTCACCTCAGGAACCAAGCTCCTTGCAGAAAGGGCTGTAAGAAGACATCTCTGCATCTCCTCAGCTGCCAAACATGCACATTCATTGGCAGAGCCTGTGGTATTGTGGTGTAAGAGGTCTGCTCTGCCATCCCTGCAGCAGGCTGGGAACAGAGCGGGTTTGGGGGGCTGTGGTGGGACGAACAGAAGGATCCTGGTGTGGAGCACAAAACCTCAGTGTTCCCAGGGCATGAGACAGAATGTTTAGTCTGCCAGTCCCTGCTGAATAGCAGGAGCCCAAAGGAAATCTGGTATTTCATCTGTTGAGCTTTTTGTATGTAAGCATTGCTTGGGTTTATTGTTACCTGTGGTGGGTGAAAGCACTGCCTACAGGCCTGCAAGGTTTAATACACTCAGTTGGGAAATTGTGATGCTGAGTGCCAAAGGCCCCATCCCCAAAGACTGGTCAGTGAATCAGGCAGGTGAGGATGCTCAGTTTAACGTGATGACACTATGGAGCAGAGCTCGCTCCAGCAGGATCCAGGTAAGCCCTTCAGCTCCTGCTCTGCTGCCATCCTGCTGCAGAGGTGACGAGCCAGGACTGAGCCTCTCTTGCAGTGTGCACTCAGCAGGCACATTGTTCTAGAGGTCCCACTGATCCTTCAACCTGTAGCTGATATGCTCTATCTGCCTTTAAATATTCCATTTATTGTCAGCACAGTCCCTGTGGATGAGAAAAACCCATCCTCAATCACCTGAAAGTCTTGACTAGACTGTGGGCTTTATTTTGTAGCAAGAGGTGAAACAGGGGGTTGCAGACATAAATTTACCTCTCACGGGAGATGGGGAGAGGGTGGCCCTCTCTGCTCCATGCATCCAGCACATTCAGGTGTCACTGCTGGGCTGCACCTACAACATTGCCCAAACTGCAGTGTTGGGTGAATGAAGGAGCTGCAGAGGCTGCAGGAGCTGCCATCTCTCATGTTGGTCACGACAAGACTTGGGGTGTGCCTGCCCATGCCAGGGGCTTGGGGTCTGCACGCTGGGTCCCTTGCAGCCAGGAAAAGATGGGGTTAGAACAAGAACTTTGGGGAGGAGTTCTCTGTGGGTGAAAGGAGGTGGTGAGGTTCACTGTGGCATGTAATTAAGCTCCTTGGGAGTCGGGAAAGATTTCTCCTGATGGAGGTGGGTAGGAGAGACTGATATTGTCAGGAAACAGTGCTGTAAGGAAGACCAGACCTTCCACTGCTTGGCTTCAAGTTATTAGGTAGGATGGTCTCTGTTCCTAATAGCCCAGTTCTTCATTGTGATGGACTCACCAAACCACATGCCTCATGTTGGCACCTAATTTATAAGGCAAAGCAGCAAAAGGACTGGTCACCAGCACCTGCACTGGAAGCATGGCTGGGGCAGGTTTTTGGTGTGTCTTTATGCTCCTTTCAGCCCTGCATGTCGGTGGAGACTCTTTAGGAAGCACACACAAAGCAATAGGCACAAACCCGAGGCTGCAATTTGTTTTTTGGCTCATACCAGCCTAAGACAAGACCCTGATACAGAGCTGCTGCTGCTACTGTGTTTACAAGTGGCAGAACTTGTCCTTTAAATCAGTCCTACAGAAAACCCTGGGCTTTGCTTTCCCATGACACTGAGGACTGAAAACCTTTGTCCTTTTGCTCCCTGGGTTTCCCATCTCGGGAAGAGCTCCTGAGCATACACCAACAGGCACAGCCTGCATAAAAAGCCCTGCCACAGGACAAACCTTGGCTCAGAGTTCAATTCAATGTGATGTCCATCACTTTTAGGACAAAATCCTTAATTTATGATCCCTTCTACACTCGTGTGACAAAAGTAAACAGCCTTTACGCCCCATGTCCTTCACAGCCCCGGCACTGCTCAAGTAGCCTGAGAATCTGCAGGCAGTGGGACAGGGTGAGTCCCGTTTCCTCAGGCCTCTGGCTCTTGCCATCATCCCCTGCTCAGGCCAACCTGACCTGAGGGAACTGGGGACAGGAAAGTCCCCCGGTGACACAGTGGGGCAGGGGCCAGCTCCTCCAGGGGTGTAAATAAGGAGGGGAGGATGATGGGGTGTCGGTGCAGTTGTGGTGGTGGAGATGGGGTGTATGAAGAGATGTGTTGAGCCCCAGTTGCATGGATCATATTTGGTGCAAGTACAAGAGTGGGGAACAGGAGGGAACACACACTGTGATATGCCAAAGCTTTCTCAGGACTATCCTCTGTATTGCAGCTTGGATAAATATGGTGATCCAAGTCCATCAGGGCTGTGCTGCTGTCCCCAGGCTGCAGCTGCTGCTGCAGGACATCCTGCTCCAAGCTAAGATGCTCCAAGCTTCCCCTGCTCTTGAAGTCACTGGCTTTGAGACACCTCTAAGCACAACTGGCCCCAACAATGCCACTACCACAGTGCGTCCCACGCCGAGGACACACAAAGGCGGACATGAGGCACATTGCTATAGCATACACAAGTAACGTCAGCACCTAAGGTTGCTTAGCACAGGAAGTAACAGGCGAATAAAGGAAACGCTCCCATGCAACATTAAGCAGAGCTTAGGTTTTTTTGTTCTTTTTCAGATAATTTTTGTTTCTCCAGTCCTTCTCCACCAGAACTCAGTGAAACTGTTAGCCTCTTGAGAAGGTAACCCTTAAACTCTAACAATCAACACGTGGTGGTCTTGAGTCCTTACCTCTTTCCCATCAAACATTGCTTCCACATTGAGTGATAGATACAGCTCCTCTGGGAAAATTTTTCTGCATCTTCTCTACACTCCCATGTGTTCCTAGAAACACCCTTCTCTTGGGATGCTGCACACTCCTTTCAAACACTTGGACATTTGGGGCTGTCCTGGGTTCAGCTATAGCAGTCATTTTTTCTCCTTCTTAGTAGCTGTTGCAGTGCTGTGTTTCTTGACTTTCAGCCTGGGAACAACGCTGATAACACCGATGTTTTTAGTTGTTGCTCAGTAATGTTTACTCTGACCAAGGACTTTCTCAGTCTCATGCTCTGCCAGAGAGGAGGGGAAGCCAGGAGGAAGCAGAGGCAGGACACCTGACCCAAACTGGCCAAAGGGGTATTCCATACCACAGCACGTCATGCCCAGTATATAAACTGGGGGGAGTTACCCGGAAGGGGCAGATCGCTGCTCGGGTCAGGCTGGGTATCGGTCAGCGGGTGGTGAGCGGTTGTGTCCTCTTCCCTTGTTATTCCTCTTATCATTATTATTGGTAGCAGTAGTGATTTGTATGATGCCTTAGTTACTGGAGTGCTGTTACCTCAACCCGTGGGAGTTACATTCCTCCGATTCTCCTCCCCATCCCTCCGGGAGCAGGGGGAGGAAGGAAGAGGGTGGGGAGTGAGCGAGCGACTGCGTGGTTCCAAGTTGTCAGCTGGGCTTAAACCACGACAGGGGCATAAAAGGAACCTGCAATTTCATCTCAGCCAGATGATGGCTCAAAAGGCATTTACGATCAAGATGCTTTAAAGGAAGAGACAACATACCTGCAGGCTCCTCTGTGCTGCTGGCAGCCGTGGTGGGGGGAGCGGCGGGGATCTCTGCGCAGGACAGCAAGAACAGATGGGAAAGGAGAGGAGACAAAAGAAGCAGGTATTATTACAGATCCTAAAGAGCCTGGCTCCTGCACACACCTCATTTTGCCTTCCCAACCATGAGTGGTGTTTCCCAGCCATGTCTTCTAGCAAGGAGCTTTGCAAGAGTCCCAGAAAGCAACACACCAGGACTGTACCTACTGGGGAACTGGGCCTCAAAAAGGGTGTAGAAAACCCCAAAATTTTAGCTTTGGCTGCGAATGAAAGAAGATACAGCCAGCCAGATAACTGATACGGTCCCAGACACAACCTGCTGCAATTGCTAGGTTCCAGTGCGTACCCCAGGGTAAGGGATGCTGTTGCAGGGGCTTGGAGGGTGCAGAAGCCAGGCAGGGTGGTGTGGCTGCTGCTGTGCAGTGCACAGCCCCAGCAGACAGTGGAGCACTGTTGCCTTTCCTTTTCCCTGGGTTGTCCCTTCCAGCTGCTGTTTCCATCCATGACTGAGGCAGTGCTACCCCTCCTCTTGTGTGTGACAGCATGCAGGTAGCATGAATCTATATGCTGGAATGTGACTGTTATTTAAAGGAAACAGAAAGATATCTAGTGCCATTGCAATGGTCCCTGCTTTAGATTTTGGGCTGGCTTTGCATAGCTGAAACCATATAATGTTCTGGATATTCATGCCCAAGTCTGACTGTGTTTGTTGATGTTAAAAAGGATGGACTGCAGATGGAGTGCATTATATGGTCCCAACTTTGGCAGGATGATCTTGTTTCCCCAGTGCACATACACAGACCTCGTTACTGACATCTTTTGCACATTTAGGGCACAGTGATGAAATTTCTGTGTGTCCCTGGCAGTCCTGGCCGGGGAACACACCACCAGTCCATTTTGAAAGTGGAATATCAGCATGAGCTGGGGATTGGCATCAGGCTCTTTCTGCTTTTGCTCTCAGGAACGTGTCTGGCCACGGAGGCAGGGATTGCTGGGGTCTGCCTGAATTGCCATGATGGCAACTCGTAGGGATGCAGCCCAGTTAGCATTAGATGACTTTTTGAGCTCTTCAATCCTCATGCAATTTAACATAGGCCCAAACCCATGTGAAACACATAGTACATAGTCAGGCAGTACATTAACAGCCAGCATGACCATCCTGAAGCTGGCAGCTGCCTGAGTGCTCATGCTTGCTGATGTGGGCTGTGGTACAGACCCCACCGATGTCTAGTTCATTCCCCATGAGGTGATTGTTGCATGACTATTATTCTTTGGGACAAGGAAAATGTAAGCAGTGGTAAATCAGAGAGTAAATGCTCTTGCAGACAAGGTGGACAGGCCCTTGCTAGCTGCAGTGTACCTGTGCCCTCCCAGTGCCAGACAGGAGAGCAGCGTAGGTAGGGATGGAGGGCAAGTGCCCTCTACTACGCATATACAAAACATCTGAAGTACACCCCCCACCACGTAGGATGGAGTATCTGACATTTTTCAAGGATGAAAATGTGCTGGTTGGGTTTTCCTAGGATGAGAGAATTGTGAGTTGCTCATATCCTCACTTGAATTGCTTTAACATCATATGTGGAGATCAAACTCCCAACAAATGCACAGCAGCTTCATAGCCAGGCCAGAGTGTTGCTTGAAACATATTTTGAACACAGGTTTTGGCCCCTTGGAAAGGATGTTTTGCAGAGACACAGCAGTCAGGGGCTCTTGTGGGAGGCAGGATGGTGGCCGGGTTGAAGGGCCAGGGCAGGACACCCCTGCCAGGCTCACGCCTGCTTGGATTGTGTTGAAATTCTGTGTCTGTCTTTATTTAGAGCGATGAATCCCAAGGGAGATGATGCAAGGAACAATTTACTCTCTGATTTACCATGGCCCTGGGGAATGATTAATGATAAACCTTTGCGCATACTTGCTGCAAAGCATACTGAAGCCGTGACTGTAGCATCCTGAGGAAACAAGCATCTGGTTTGAGCTCTTGCTGTCCCATTGCAACACAGGGAAGAATGACTCTCTAGTGACCAAAACCCACCCTGGAATGTATGTTTTCTTCAGCAGCAGAAGGTGGAGAAAGGGTATCTGCCCCATAGCTTGGCAACGGCCATCCCAAGAGGCAAATGCTGTGAGGGGACAGTGTGGGAGCAGACTGTGGGTTCCCAACAAAGACTTGATTCTTTCAACATTCACTTTTCTTCTCCCACTGGGCCTTCTTGCCCCTTTTAGCAGCAGGGAGTCAGCCTCGAGGGGAGCAGTCCCTCCTTCCCAGCCCATCCCAGGCACTGTAATTTCAGTGCTTCATTTCGTTAGGGCAGGTGGAGATCTCTTGTGTGAGGTGCATGAGTTACTGAATGATCCAATAACAGCAAAACCAACAGGCAGCAGAGAGGAGCGCTGGGCCGAAGCACACCTTGTGCCAGCAGTGAGTGCTCAGCAGGGACTGTGTGCTCAGCAGGGACTGAGCGGGGATGTGGATGTCTGCAGAACAAATGCTGCAACAGAGAGACTTTGGGAGCTGTACCTGGTGCTTGATGCTGTTCTTGTGAGAGTGGAGGATGACAGTGGCTTTTGGAAGCCAAACTAAAAAGCAAACCCAAGGAAGCAAGCAGTAAACCAGACTATGTTTCTGAGAGAATAACCCCAGCCTATGTTTCTGGGTGGGTTGTGTAAGATCGCCTTTAGCAATCCAGGTGCTGTGTTACTGTGACGGCAACTCCAGAAAACCAGCAGTTCCTCTGATTTGATCTCTACCAGTGTAGCACACAGCCTGACTTTGGAGAGCAAAGCCTGTTTGTAGAGATCTGCCACAGCATCCAGACCTGATGTGGTACCCCAAAGCAGATGTGCTCTCTCCATGAAGCAAAATCAAATTACTGGCAAATTTGGCTGCAGATTCCCTCACACAAACCACTCAGAAAGCAGATGAGCTACTTGGAAGATAGAGGTGAATTTTGGATGATATGCCCTATGGGCAGTGCAGCTGGCCAGGGGTCACAGGCTCTTCATCACCTGAGCACTGCCTGTTGGCATGGATGTGGTGGGGTTAGTAGCTGCCCAGCCGTGTGCAGTGGCTCCTGTGGATTTATAAAGGTTAATATCTCTAATCTACAGACATGGAAAGAGCAATCCACCTACTTATGCAGGGGGCAATGGGAGACCGGCTTTGCTGGTAGCCTTTGGCGCATCGATTGCACGTGATGCCGGTGACACCGTCTTTACAGGGACATTGGCCTGTGGTTTGGTTACAGGTTTGGCCGGCGGCACCCACGGGATGGCAATCGCACTCTGTGGGGGGAACACACAACAAGACGGTCAGGGAGGAGGAGTGCGGGTGCAGGTGGTGTTGGAGGGAACGGGACGAACATCCCGGGCTGCCGCAGCGCTCCCGGCACGGCTCCACCTTCTCCTCAGTGGTGTGGAGCTCCGGCAAACGTCCTGTCCAGCCAGGACTGCACCGACCTGAAACAGAGGTGGTGTTTGGCAGAGGGGTGTGCGTGGTCATCTCTTGGGTGCAGAGGGGACAGTGCCAGAGAGGGGGCAGCTGATCCACAGCTGGTCCCACTGCAGAGATGGAACTGCGGAAAGACATCTTTCCCAGGGCAGTGAGGGCACTTGCCGGGGAGGCAATACGGTGTGGACCCGCTCAAGGATCCCCATCCCTGCACACTGCAACTGCCGTGTCCCATGGGTGCTGTGGTCAGGACTGTGCAGGACTTGAGGAGGAGGGGAGCAGGCAAGGCTCGGGGAGCCACAGCACCTGCTGCCCACACCCCAGCTAGCTTCAAACTCCCTTGCGCTCCCTGGAGCTGTGGCAGGGCTGTAAGGAAGAGGTACAAAATCAAGGAGCATTTCATCACCCCTCCACACACGAGATCTCAGGCAGGAGGCAACTGCTTTTAGAGATGTTGGGAATTCATTTCACGCGCACTGGAGAAAAAAAACCCCACAAAACCACCCTCCTTTCAGTGCTCTTGCTTGAGCCCTTCCCCGCTGAGCAGCATCCCTGGCAGCTGGCACCGCGGGCGCAGGAAGGAAATGCCCTTGTGGATGCAGGCAGGCTGGAGGACCTGCTGTTCCTGGCCAGATGGATGGAGGCTTGACAGCAGAGCTGGGCAGATGTGAAGGGTTTGGCAGGGGATGTAAATAGTGCACTTGAAAACATTCACCATCTCATTTCCCACAGTGGGACTTACCGGCGCAGCTGTTTGTTACAAGGGAAGAAAAAAAAGCTAAAAAACCCCAACAGGGCTTGTTATCATCACTGTTCCAAAAGGATTATGGCCTCGCACATTTGTTAACAGCCCTGATTTCTAAGAGCTGCAAGCGCCGTGCCAGACTGTGGTCTGCCCCTGCTGAGCGGTGGCAGGGAAAGGCAGGAAAGCTTTGCTTTTCTTGTGCAGCATCCTCGGGAAGGAGCCAGCCAGAACCCTCCCGGGGGAGCACTGCTCCTGCTCTCCTCCTGCCATTCGGGGGAGCTCCCGAACACTTCTGATTTCGGGTTTTTGACTAAGAGTCCTGCTCTTACCCTCTGCCTGGAGCTGGCTCTGGGACCAGGCACTTCAAGCCTGTCCGTAGTGGAAAACTTTTCTATCAAACCCAGTTTTGACTGGAAAAGTTTCAACATTGAATCAGTGTGGCTGGTGATGGGCGCAGACAACAGAGGATGTTTAGGTGGTAAAACCTGCACGCTGCAGCCCCAGGGGATGGTTTCAGTATTGCGGGGGGAGAGGAAATAAAAACATCTTAAACAAGAGCCTGAAGAAGGAAAAGGACAGAAAAGGGTTAAAGAAGAGCAAAGAGGCAGGAGTTAATACAAAAATAAGCAAATCAGGGAAGGGTTACACAAGAAGAGGCAAAGGGCAGGAGGATGGGGAGGAATATGCCTCATGTTTCAGGCGTCCCCCCGCTGGGGCTGCGCGTGTTTGTTTCAGGCATCGCCTGCAATACCCCATCCTGTGAGTAATCCTCCTCCATGTGAACGGATTGCAGTGACTTCAGTGGGACCACTTGGATGAGAGAGGGGGGGAAAAAGAGGAAAAAAAGGGGAAAAAAAAAAAAGCCTTCGTGATGAGTCAGATTTACAGAACCAGGCTTTTGGAGGACGGGCTGCAGAGCACAGAGTGCTCTTTGGACACCACATAAATAAATAGCAATGCTGCTGCTTCCTTCCCTCATGAGGTAATGCCTCGGCACAGCTTGTCCAAAACTGCCGTGGTTATTTTTACAGCCGTATCTGTCTGAGGTTGTCTGCTCTCTCCCCAAGCTGGCCTCCTGCAAGGGGTCTGCAGCACGGATGTTGCCCGCGTCCCCACGGGCACGTGTGATGTGGCCAAGAGCAGGCAAGTGGCAGAGGAGCTGGGAATCACTGACCCTTGGTCCAGGACCCCACCAAGAGAACCCCCTGCTCGATGGCTGCTGTCCCTCCAACACGCTGTGTGGTAAACCCTCTCTGAGCGGAGGGATGCGCTTTCTGCCACTGGACCGCAGCTCTTCACTGCGGCACAGGACTGGGCGAGCCTGGGACAACTGCTTTGGGCAGCACCACTCCGGCCGCTTCAACGCCTGACCCCGTTTTGATTGTCTATCTTCCAGAAAACTCTGAAGAAGCAGCAGCAGCTCAGCCTTCCTGGCGTGGGGAGGTAGGAGGGGGTCTAAGCAGTGTCTGCAGATGCACATTTGCGGTCTCTATCCTGGAGGAACTGAACCAGTGCCAGCAATTAGGAACAATTAAAGGCAATTTGCAGTTCCCTGGCCAGTGCAAACACTTGCAGCCAGCAATTACAGGATCTGCCTTCTCCTTCCCCAGCCATGGAATAGCTGGGCTGCTGGTGGTTAATGCTAATTTTTCCAGCACAGTTCAAATTCTTTTGGGTTGTAACCTCAAGTTGAGGGTAAGACTGCACTAGAGTCGCAAAGCGGGGGTGACCGGTACAAAGACCCCTTTGGCATCTTCACTGCCTTTCTGATAGACACCTTTTCATTCACCAAACATGTTTTCATGCCTGGACTTCCCGGATGCGTTTGTTCATCACCCACCATGATGCAGAGTATCAGCAGTCCCCTGCACTAAGCAGAGCAGAGACTGTGAGGCACTAGAGCTGAGAAAACTTCACTGACCACCAAAGGAGGGTGCTTGGGCCACCCTTATAGATAATAAGGGGGATATCAGTTGATTTATCCTCTGTATCCTCATGCCTTGCTTAAATGTATCATCCCATAGAGGACAATGTAATGATGCAGGGAGTGAGATGTGAGAGGAACAAACAGGAATGATGTTGCAAGAAAATGGTGTGCCTTTAGTCTGGTTGTTCGCACAGTATCAGGGGGAAGGGAAATAACTGTCATGATTTAGTTCTTTCATAAGACCTTTAAGAAAAAATCTGTGATGAGTGTCTGTGGCAGAGATGACCAGGAGTTACTGGCTGTGGAGGAGCAAACACGGAATGGGAATATATAGTGAGGCTTTAATGTGGAATGAGGGCAGTGATGGGGGTGCCTGCACCAAGAAAATGTGATTTTTCTTATAAAATAGCCATGACCTGGAAAAAGTTAACATCATTTCTAGGTGATCACCTTCAGCTTGGCTAGTCCAAACATGGGGAGACCACGTAGGTCTTCTGCAAGACTGACACAAACCGGCCGAATGGGTGTGAGGACAGCAATAAAAAAACAGTGTGCAGAAGGATGCGTAATTGGAAGGAGGAAACAGGATAGCTTATGCATGCTGAAGGATCCCAATTAACTACAGCCACTCCAGGAAAAGATCTAAGAGTCAATGAAACATCTGGCTGATTGCAACAGAGCTCAGAAGAGCAACAAGATGGTAGGTTGTATTATGAAAAGAATAGAGAGTAACGCTGAATGTAATATCATGACACTATAGAAATCAATAGTACATCCTCAGCTGGGAAACCAGAGTAAAAGGCACAGAGAGGCACCCATCTGAGGGTGATGGAAAAGATTAGGAATGCCTTGCCAAGAGACGATGGAGGGATGCCAAGTAATGCACAGCGCCGAGAAGGTCAGACAGGTGCTCCTCTTCACTGGTCCTTAAAACGCAGGAACAAAGGGACATTCAATGCATTTAAAAGGCAACCTTTTTCAATGATAAAAGGAAATGCTTCTTTACACTGCACGTAATTAACTCGTAGAACTCATGCTACGAGACACCATGGCAAAGGCCCAACAGGATTAGATAGGCCTATGAATGAGAACATCTGTAGTTACATTAGCTGGGATTAATATATATACGGATATAAGCACTCCAAGCCAGCTACTAACTGCCTGCAGTTAGGAAGAGATTTCCCCTGGGGGCATGCTATTGCAAAACTGTCTGTCGTGGAGTTTTATATCTCTGTCTGGAGCTTCTAAGACAAGCCACTATTATATGTACAAATCTGCTGAGGCGGGCCATTGTCCGCTCGAGCAGAGCAATGCTGCACTGCAGCTAAGATTTGGCTGGTTTGGGACTAAAAAAATACCTGAAAGCAAGTCCTAAGACCATGCGTGAAAGGATGCGAAACGCCCTTATGTGTCTGGGCAGCTGAAGGTTGACAAATAGCATGACAAAAATGCAAATATTTTTGCACCCCTGAGTTTTGGTCGGAGGTATTCCCAGCTGCTAATCTGCCCACACACATGTGGGCTGGAAGGTAAACAGAGGGATAAATCTCTGGGCTTAGCTCTCCTCAAGTGTGACCTTTTTGGAGAAGGTACCTGAAAGGATCTGCATTTTTTGAGAATTAGCATCTTCCTGTTTTGGGGAAGCTGCTTCCTTGGGAGGTCTTCAGAATGATGAAAAATCCATTTGAACAACAGAAAAGGGCTTGATATCAAGGGGCATCTAGATTCCCTCTTGTCACACTGTATCTGCAACGATAACTGCAGGGCTTCCAGATTTAAAAGCCCAAAGCATGACTGCTTTATGTTGTGCCGTGCATGAAGCAGTAAAACAGCAATGCATTAAACTAGAAAAAAATACCTTAATTTGCAATAGTCATCAATGAAGATTCTTGTGTTGAGAAAGAACCTTCTTCAGGAAATCACAGTCAGTTTCAAGTATGAAAATAAGCTCCATATAGCCAACATGTCTTAGGTATATGTTTATATTTAACCATGATTTTAAATGCTTTTCCAGAATCAAGGCCAAAATTACCTCCCTTTGGTTGCTTTCCTTCTTTCCTCTAAAGACTCTAATTGGAGCAAAAAATGTGGCACAGAAGCTTTCTGCTGGAAAAAGATGCACCAAAATCAAGCTTCTGGTGCGGATGCTTTGATTCAGCAAA